ATGGAAGCGTAAATATTTGTACTCCTTGAATTAATTAGATCTTTTTAAATAATTATGTATGTTATTCTAAAAATGCAATCTAATTAATTAGTCGCAAAGAACTATCATAATTTCTGACTAAATTTCCTTTCTGAATTGAATTTAGAATCTATTTTTTTAATAACATACTGTCAAATAATGGAAATCAGACACTTCAGAAGAATAAATCGGACGACAAAAAAATTACAGTTTTCAGTGTAACAATGAATGTACTTTTTTTTAGCTGAATTGATGCTATTTTAGATTAATAATTAATCACGAAAAATATATTGCAGTAAGCTTTTATCTTACACTTTTGAAAACGTAGTTCGAATAAATTAATTCATTAATTGAGAAAAAAAATTTGCAGATTCGAAAGTAAAACTGTGATATAAAAGAACTCATATATTTTGGAATTAATCTCACTTAATTTTAAATAGAGTTTCGAAATATATCTTAAGCTCTATTAATCACAAATTTATAATTCACAGATACTAATAAAAATGTAAATTTGTACATATTCATATATCTCAAAGAAGCTGTTTGCACATTCTTTAGACGATTTTCATTGTAATTAGAGAAATATTTTACCTAAAAGTTTTATGTTTTAAATGTTCTATTTGATAACGATTATTCTTCACATGAATAATTTTCTTCGGAACAAACACAAAAATAGACTTCCACCCAATACATCTTTTAAAGCGATATTTTGCATGAAAACAAAACTGCGAATTAGCAGACGATACACAGTGAAAATTTGAAAATATAACGCTGATTTTTTGTCGTTTAACTTCTGAATTAATACTTGTTCGGCGTGTTATTCTATCTTAACCTCTGTAATTCTTTAATAATTTTCATATTAATGATTAATTAATTGAATAATTTTGTTTCCCTATGTCGTAAGTTTTATATCTATACTCCTCTATATAATTATATATTTCCTATAATTATAATACTTTGTAAATATTTACTTCAGTTTATGACCCACTTAAATCCAATAAACTGCTATATCTTGCGTTAAACTTCTTTATGTGTTTATGTTTATCTCCTATATATATACATATGTTACCGTGAAAATTGGAGAATGTCGACTTTCACCGGAGAATGTCAACATTCACCAAATCTCGGTGAAAGTCGAATATGCATTACTTCTTGTACATTCGGACGTTCCGGTGTATCACAATCACAGATATGCTGGTTTAGGGCGAAAGATTGACTCAATTGGGATACTGTACGATAAGTCCCTGTGTCGACCGGGTCGTACAATAACCGAAATGTAAGCGGTTGTTTGGAATAGAAGACTATATAAACTTCTATAAACTTGCAACGAAACGGTACTCTCAAGAGCTTTACACACGTAACAGTTCGTAATTTTAAGCAAAAGTTACTTTCCATAGATGAATTATTTAAAGAAATGTCGCTGAGAGAATCACTGCAGCTAATTCGAGAGCGGTGCGCAAGCTGTACACGTTGTCATTGCAAAAGGAAGTGTCCAAATAAATGCGATGTAAAGCGAGGGCGTCTTGTGCAATTCAAAGTGTCATAATTGTTTAGTTGTTGCAATAATAAGATTTGAATCACTAATTTAGTAATTTTTTATTACTATTATTTTTTTTCTCATTTAGAGCATACTGTACTGAGTTTTTTAACTTCTATTATTTTCCTTTCGCATTTGAATGTACTATGTGTTTTAAGTCTTATTCTTAGTTCTTATTTTAGTCTCAGTGCGTTGTTTCGCGACTGAATTACGGAGAAGAAATATAATATTCTTATATATTCAACATTCAGCATTATACATGTGAATGTCGACACTGGCCGGTGTAAGTCAAAAAAGAGATTTGGAAAATATTCGGACATACCCAAGCGACTATGTGAATATTGACATTCACCGGTGAAAGTCGACATTCTCCAGATTTCGGTGTTTCACCGTAACATATACACACATAACTAATATCCTTTATAAAAAGACGATTCTTACGCCAAAATATTAAGCTTTCACTTTAGTGTACTCATGTACGTTTCGCTTAAGAAAATTACATTAATTCCATCATTACATTACTTGCATTCATGTAAGAAATTTTGCTTTCGAAATGGGCAAAAAGGAAATTACTTACCTGAAAATTTTTAAAACATATCTAAAGCCAAGAACGAATCTTAAGAATCTTAAGAAGTCTTAAGAATTGGCTTAAAAAGAAATCGATAATTTTGTTTGGATTCATATGTAGTTTATTAAGCATGTGGTTCTAAGTCGTAATGAATTTCAGATTAAAAAGCAGTTTAAAGTACAGCATAGTAATTCGAAACATGAATTGGCAGCATTTAGTCCATATACCATTAATTCTTTCAAAAGTATATATGCAGGCGTTTTCACAGTGTTAAGTTTGAAATTTATTCTTTAATGCATTCGATGTCTTAAGATTAGAGTTAAACAGTAATCCATATTTTAATTTGGATTCATTTGTAAGTGCGTAATTCTAGTTTAACTTGAAATTCAAGTTAAATAGCAATTTAAAGTACAGCGTAGTAATTCGAAACATGAATTGGCAGCATTTGGTCCCTATAACATTAATCCTTTCAAAAGTATTTACGCAGGCCTTTCTACAGTGTTAAGTTTCAAACCTATTCTCTAATACATTCGATATCTTGAGTTTCGGATGAAACAGTAATTCGTATTTTAATTTAAAGTCATATGTAAGCACGTGATTCTAGTTCAACCTGCATTTCAAATTAAATAATAGCAGTTTAAAGTACAGCATAGTAACTCAAAATATGAATTTGCAGTCTTCGATCATATAGTAGTAATCCTGTACTGTATGTACGCAGGTTTTTCCACAGTGTTAAGTTTAAAACTTATTCTCTAATACATAAGATGTCTTAAAACTCGGCTTAAAACGAAATGTATATTTTAATTTTGCTTTCATATGTAATTTAGTAAGATGTGTTTCTAATTCAAATTGGCAGTCTTTGATCAATATGTCATTAATTCTTTCAAAGATATGTACGCAAGTTTTTCCACAGTGTTAAGTTTAAAATTCTTTAATGCATATATTAATTTACCTATTTATCCGTGACATCAAGTATGAAATGTAAGATTGTAGCAGTACATGAAATAAAATCAGAAGAGGCTAGCAACATGGGAATGTATACCAGAAATTTGACAACTTTTTTTTGAATAAAGTAAGCGTCTTACCAAGAACAGCAAAACACTGCATTGATCCTTTAATTCATCTACAAGACCAAACCATACATTTTCTCATCGGAATTTAATATTTTTAATACTTTGCCCATTCTAAATTAAGGCATATCGGAAATATTTTCTGAACTTAAATTCTCTCCGCTTTCCTTAAAATGCTCGTTTTTTCTTAAGTTTTGAGGATATTTTATAATACTTTATATATAGCATTCCATCATATTCCATAATGCATGTTAACTTTATGTAAGTAGCTATGAAAATAAATTATATATTTGCATATGAAGATCAATTGTTTTATTTATATGACTTGATATTAAGAAACTCTGTTAATCTGTAACATGAACATTCAGGACAGAATATTAAAACTTCAGTTTCAGAAATTTCTTATACAGTTGCATGTATTTACAGCAAATATATTTTATAATTATTAAGAAATTTAATGGAAACAATTGTGTAAAATAAGCACGTGACACAAGAAAAAAGAAAGCATTTTACAGTTTACACTAATATGTAAAGACAACGTAACAGTTCTAAATTATTTATATATCTGTATGGTCGTTTTTCAAGCAATATTAAATTCAATAATGTTGAATCTAAATTATGTATGTGTATGTGAAGAACTATGTTTTTTTTTTTTTTTTTTTTGTGATTTGCTTTTAAATAACTCGTATAATTTCACAACATGCATATTAAGGACGTATATTAACTCCTGTTCCAATAAGTTATATTTCTTATAAAATCACATGTATTTTACTATAAATGTGTTTCATATTAATTAGAAACTTAGTGGCAACAATTGTGTAAAACAAGCACGTGACACCACATCAAAGAACAGTTTTAAGAATTTACACTACGTGTAAAGACTATTTACCAGTGTGGTCACTTCTTAAGCAATATTACATTCAGCACAGAAGTACTGATGATCTATTACATAGAACTGTACAACACACATCATTACTGCAAAGCTCAGATAATACATAAATTTAGTGGTAATATCGTTCGCGATAACAAGAGATATTTTTGGACACGTTTTGTTTTTAAATGATGCAGAAATAGTACAGATACTATAACCTTTATATAATATGCATATGAATACTTATATTACTGATAAAATCAGATGGGTATAAATAGTTAATATACATGATAGTGTAATAGTACTTAGTGTTTTATTGCATTTAAAGAAGAGATAAGTTAGGTAAATTATGAACGTATTCTTGCAGAAATTTTACAGATGCTATATCCTTGATATAATATGCATATGAGTACTTTATTATTGATGAAACACAGATGGTTTTAAATAGTAAAAACTATTATTGAAAGTTAATATACGTGCTACTTAATAGTACATAGTGTTTGATTGCATTTAAAGATGAGCTAAGTTAGGTAAATTATGAATACATTCTTGCAGAAATAGTAGAGGTGATATATTCTTGATATAATATGAGTACGAATACTTTATTATTGATAAAAATCATAAGGGTATAAATAGTAAAAAGTATTATTGAAAGTTAATCTACGTGATAATGTAATAGTACGTAGTGTTTTATTGCACTTAAAGAAGAGGTAAGTTTGGTGAATTATGAACGCATTCTTCTTAAAAATTATCAGCGCAATAAAGTTATCTAAATGAAGTATATGAAACAACTAACATCTTTTATAATATTTATAATTTAATGCCAATTCTCCTTACGACACAATGCAATGTGCCGGAATTGTCTTGTTATGTGAATGCGGATGGGCAAAACCGTGTCCAAAGACACCACCAAAATGCATCGGAATCTGTACTCACCCAGTTGTCTGTGTTCTGTGCCAGTCGGACCAGCTCGGCTTGGAGTTTGGGTCCAGCATCTTCCCGGAAATCCTCTACTAGTTGCCGCGTGCTCTCGTATTGGGTAGCGGGAATCACGGCCCTCAAGCCAGCCAGGTACCGGTCGAGGGTGCTGCCGAGATCGGGGATGGGTTGCTGCGGCAGCTCCTGCGGGGAGAGACGGCAAGCGTGAGTATAAGGGGGGAAGGGTGTGACTGTCAGGGTTCCATTTCGCAGTGTGAGGGGCCCTGAGCAGATGCCAGGGCCAAAGGAATAACAGAACTCATGGGAGGGATCAATAAAGGACAGCTTGGGTAAAGTAAATATTAAGTCGATATCTTAGGAGACAACTAGTCACCCGTAAAGTGATATGTACTTGGAAAATACATCATTTGTTGAAATAACGATATAACTTTACAATACCACAAATACTTCAATGTACATAATATGCATGGTAAAACTGTATAATGAAATATATTAAGTAAGCACAAGACAGATTTAAGCATAAGTAACAGACGCACATTGAAATTTGTAACCGGTTACATATCAAATTTATTATCTAGGATAGCTCTCTGAGAGAATATACTGAATGTACGTAAACCAGATAGCTAAATACCTTAACTCAATTTCAAAAATGTTATTTATTGAATTGGCCATTGCTAATGATATATGAAACGAAATTTGTGCTTGCAGATATTACTCGAATGATTAAATTCCGAAATTATGGTGGATATTGGCACTTTTATTTCAGATTCGTATTCCGGTTTCAGACCACTAGAATATGAACCCGAAAGAATGTTTGGCTGGGTTTTTTGATTGATTATGTTGGTGTTAAACAAATTAATTTTCTTTAGAAAGTCCTTCTTGAAGGCATCCTTCTTTAAGAGCAAACATACTGCTTTTTGTAGTAACATAATTGTAGATACTACTAAGATTGTCGAAGCAATAAACTTTCCATCCCCGAGATTAGAAACCTCAATATTCCATTTTCCGGTTAGGCATATTAACCGCTTTCACCGTGATAGAGTGTATTGAAGAATGTGATAATTTCTGTCCAAGTAACCAAATTACCAAAAAGGTATATACGTAAGCTTTTAATTAATTATTTAATTATAAGGAGAATTTTGCTTGAGGCTGGGGCTTTGGTAGCAGTAAAAGCTACCAAAAGACGGGGAATCTTGAACCGAATGCTTTTCCCCCCTTTAAGAAATCACCTCCTATTTGCAACAAAGATTCTTGTGTGTAGTTTAATGGATTCTCAGAGGGGTGCATCTATGTCGCAAAAGGAAGATCTTTGAAAGAGATAAGTGGTTAAAACCCCAAAGACGTCAAATTTGACATTTCACCCCACTTTTCAGCCTGGGAAATGGGGGAGAAAGACATGGCCACTAAAGTGGACAACCCCGCTTTTCAAAGAGAGTATGGCCACTATAATGGCCATCCCGTCTTCTAAAGGTTAAAGTGAGTTGTAAAGTCATTAAGTTATTCTGATAAGACCTGAAAAAGAACAATGCCTTCGCCGGGACTCGAAACTGGACCTTTCGAATAAGCGCCGTGTATGCTAACCATTACTCTACCAAGGCATGCAGAAAGGAGGGAGAAAATATATACTAAAGGACGACTGGGGATTAGGGGACTCAATTGCCAAATCCGAATCATCATCCACCACCTTTTTTAGTTCGGTTGCCACTGTAGAGCCATTTATTTTGATGGTGGAGACGTGAAAAATGAGCAATGCCCTCGCTAGGACTCGAACCTGGATCTCTTGAATACGCGCCGAGTGTGCTAATCATTACAGCCCGAAAGCATGCAGAAAGAAGGGAGAAAATGCCTTATAAAAGTTGAGTGATTTTATATGTAATGCTCTCGATAATGTCATATTTTTCAATACAATATGCTCTGGAAAGCTTAGTTTTGAAATTCTTGCTCATGAAACATTGCAAAAATTTTATTTTTGCAATTTTATATTGCCTTTAAAGAAAACTAGCCCAAATTTCCTTTGAAGACCCAAATCTTCAGCAAATGTAGATTAGTTTATGAAGCTTTATATTAAATGTTATTTTATTTGTAAATTTCTGTTTTTGTCAACTTCCACGAAATCAATAAACATATAAATAAGCACAGATTTCTTCAATTTGAAAAAGCTTTTGGCAGTTTCTCCCATCCCCTACTTTGATACACTTTACTGCTACTAGAATTAAAAACGTATCTGCTTTAGCTTCGCCAAGCCGTAGTTACTTCGCGAATGTTTAGGTCCTAAGCCTTGGCTTAGTTAGGAGAACACTATTTCTTTTTACGGTTACTTTGACTTGAACGTTTGTCTTCTATTTCCTGAGCGGCAGGGATTATGTTTCTGTTACATTCCTAAGATTGTGTAATTGTTCAGATGGATGTGTTAATAAATAAGTTTATTCTAAACCTTCACTTTGAGTTGTGATTACTGTAGCTAGAAGGTAAACGGGATATTAAGCCGTCTGACTGTCTTACCGGTTCAGATAGGTTATCATTTTTAAGCAATGTAGGACAATAGGTGACATTACGGTTATGTTCATGAGTGATGTTTTCATAAAGTTTGAGCGTAGTGAAAACGTTTAATTTCAAGATTAGAAAACAAAGTGGTTTGGCAAGAAAACTTCGCTCATAAAATTATATTCAGCTGTCAACACAAATTCCACAAGGTGTCCGCCGATAACATCGCGGCAAAAACATCGCGGACGAAAACGTCGCGGAGAAAACAACGCAAGGCGAAAACGTCGTGCTACAAAACATCGTGGGAGAAAACATCGCAAAGAGAAAACATCGCAGTTCTAAAACATCGTGCTACAAAACATCGTCGTCGAAAATAAAGCGGTCAATTATTGTAAATGGATATTCCCATAATGATTTGTGAGCGCAGTATGTAAAGAAGGATAATTTTTATTTTTACATATTTTATTAACTATAAATGTTTACTGAAAACGTAGAAGGAAACTTAAGCATAAAAAAAATGCAAATTATAGATTATACTTTTCGTGAAAATACCATAAACTTTATAAAATGATTTATTAATGGCCTTTGTTAGTTAACTATGTCGGTTTTAAAATTTAATTAAGTGCTATAAGTGCATTAATTTTATGCTTAAGTTTCATTCTTATTTTCTCAGCAAAAATTTATTAGTTAATAAAAGTATGAAAGTAAAAATTTCCTTCTTTCATCTTGCGATCAAAATCAATATGGGAAGCCATTACAGTTATTAGCCTGAAAGAAGCATGTCTGCGATGTATCGCATGCGATGTTTGTAGATACTTTATTTTGCCACGATATTTTCGACGACGATGTTTAACTGCGAAGTTTTGAACCGCTTTATTTTTCGACGACGAGTTTGACCACGATGTTTTAGAACTGCGATGTTTTCTCGCTGCAATGTTTTCTCCCACGATGTTTTGTAGCACGACGTTTTTGCCTTGCTTTGTTTTCTCCGCGACGTTTTCGTCCGCGATGTCTTTGCCGCGATGTTTTCGGCTGTAACCATTCCACAAATATTACCATTGACATTTGATAGCAATACAATAATAACTGTAATTTGGCAAACCTGTATTAAAACAGAGTAAATATATAATAATTGAAAGGCAAAAATAATTATAATGAATTTCCCCTACAAAACCGTTTAAGGTACCCGACAACGTTCTAATCGTCAATCTTGAGGAGATCAAAAAACATTTTACTGCTTTATATTAAAAGCTTGCTAATTAAGCTTCCCATACTACTTTTGTTTTGTCTCTTCTGTCGTCAGAAACAGATTATGGCTGTTCTTTCTAAGCCATGAACCGGAAGTTTCTGTTAAGATCCCGGAAATTGTTATCGAAAGGTACAAATACTACTCTGAAAAACTTTACAATGGGAATTTTTCATTTGAATATAATTTATGACGTTCAGAAGATGATTTTGAACCTTTCGTTTTCCTATTATGTGCTCGGAAAAAGATTAAATTTGGAATTTAATTTTCAAACTTGGTCAGATATATTTTTCCTTATGTTTGCGCTTTGCATTGCATTAAACCTGCTTTTTGAGAAACTTGATTTTTTTTCAATTTTTCTGTAACGAAAAAACTTTAACGAAAAAACATTTTAAAAACTTTTAGTGTTGTTTAAGTTAAAACAACACTAAAGTGTCTTTATGAAAATGCTCGCAAACGTTCTATGATATTTTGTGAATTAAATTGACTAAAAGTTTAGGCTTATGTACATAAAAATATTTTCGGACAATTTTTTAAATAAAGAGAGAGAAATTTCTCGAAAAATAGTTAGTGCATGTACTGAAACAGGCATATTTAGCATACTTTTTCACTTCGATTTTAGTTCATATAATTCATTATACATTAATAAGTGACAAAAATAAAAGTAAAATATTGATAAATACTTTTGTTGGCATCTATCTAATAATCTTCAAATTAAACACATTTTAAACCCAAAATGTTATAAAAAAATTATGCATTGATAATATGTCATTTGTACAGTAAATAAATTTATTTGTACTGTTGCCAAAATTTGATACTTAATATTTTCCTTCTGTTGTTATTCTGCGTGCATAGAACTCTATAATTCATGAAAGCTATTTTTAGATATCATTTGGAGAGGATATTCTTAAAAAGAGTTGAAAAGCTTTAATTAATGCATAATATTGCTCTGAAATTAAATGTATTTTACATTACTCGATACTAATCATATTCTTAATTATACTAATTAAAATAATTGTAATTAATAATTAAAAATAACAAAGAATTCTAAACTATGTTCTGTTTACTTTATATTCTTTCATAAATTTTTTAATAACCTTTAATGTTGTGTCAATACTTCCGAAACTTAAATTTATTCGAATTATTAATCCCTTGGGCTTAGTATTGTTAATTTTTATTTAATAGTGATATGTATTATTTGAATATTAATTTCTAATGTAATATTACGATTTTCAAAACATTTTCATTTAAAGTGTCTTTCGATATTTTCTGTTCTTGTAGTCTGTTCATTTCAATTACTTTAACACAAATTTCTAATGAAATGAATTAATTCTGAACTAGATATTATCGTTATTGAAAAAATGTTTTGTACATAGTAAAACAATAATGCTTTGATTATTCGAAAAGTGCTGAATTTACGGCTGGAATTTCCACTTGCAGGAAAAAAATTAGCACATTTGTTTAATTTTTAGAATACTTGAGGAAACTTTTGATTTTGTAACGATGTAAATTAAAAATAAGTTGATAAAATATATTCTTATCATATTTCTTTGGATTTACATCTGTAAAGAAATAAATTTTTGAATGATAAAAATTTTCGAAGTATAGCTTTTTAGCGATGTTAGCATAAATGCAAGGAAACAACATTTACAGACTTCATCCAGTAATTACGAACTTAAAGCTGTAACACCGTTTTCTGGTTTGGTTTATACTAAGATTATGGCAAAGTACACTAGGGCCATCTGCCTAAGAAGAGGGATGTCTTCGTGGAGGACATTCTACGGGAAACTGGTTTGTATATACCTTTCACATAATATCGTTTTCTATTGCGATGCATCAACATAATATAATTTTATATGAAATATGCTTACGTAATATAATGA